ACATTCGAGTTTCAACCCTTACAGCGTCATAAATTATAGCTATTTAACCGTCCCCCGGTACAACAATGCAGGGTGTTGTCTGTTGGAGGCTTTAAGGGTGACAGGGCGATGTTGTCATACAGGGGCTGACAATACCTTTCTCCCACTTTTTTCTTAGGTTTGCCAAATTATTGTCTGGTTGCATGTGCAACTCGCTTTGTGCTATACAATTAAGGCTTGTTTCAGCAGTTAGCAAGGGCAGCTGCCATTTTTTCGTAGTATTCAGTTTAATAATGACAAGACAGTTAGCAGGGGCTACTGCTATCACGTTGTAAAACATGTTTCAGACAGCTCGCAAGGGCGGCTGATCAACCGTACTGGAAAGTTTGTGTTTCACGCGCCAAAGATTTTGCGCCGCAACTTTCACCAAAATATTGCACGCCAAAAAAGTTCTTCCAGCGAGACTAACGTGCGCCAAATGAGATTGGCGGAGACACAAGGCGAGCACTAGCCTGCGTAGCAGGCGGTATTCCCGGACACGAGAGAACGGGAAACGAGAGAACGGCGTGAGCATTGTAGGGAAATTCGCGAGCATTGTAGGGAAAATCTCCCCCGGAAAATTTTTGAACCTACAGTCTCTCAAATGCCATTTCCTGGACTTTGGGGGAAGATTTTGCGAAATTCTGACGGTCAGAATACACTTGTTAAACAAGACGCCTGCTCAGACGTTCACACTGGCCTCGCGGCAATCAATCAATCAATCAATCAATCAATCAATCAATCAATCAATCAATCAATCAATCAATACAAATTTATTTAAACACGGTAAAATCTTCAGTACATGGATAATCTAACTATTATAAGAGTAATGAGACAGTTATAGATTTATAGACACACGCATCAATTATAAAAAAATCTGAAAATTATCTACTACTGGTTTACAAGGGCATGTACTAAAAGACGAAACGTCGAAACGAAACGACCGAAAGCATCGAAACCACCGAAACGACCGAAACGAAACGGCCGAAACAAAACGGCCGAAACAAAACGGCCGAAACGAAACGGCCGAAAATATAAATTACAGCAAAATTAAAAAATGCGGATACGGACGGACGGACGGACGGGGGAAACAGGCGGATAGACGGCTTTATTTGTCACGAAACTCAATGTTAAAATCAAATCCGCGTTTTGTTGAAGGGAAATATATTACGAAAGTCACTGAACTGTGGAATCGCATCAAAAATTCGTATATCGACCACTCCCACAAACGTCTACGATCGCGCCTACATATTTTCGCATGTTTACAATTATAATTTTAAACAGCCAATTACCAATAACCTGATTGGCTGTTCAAAATTAGAATTGTAAACATGCAAAACTATGTAGGTGCGGTCGTAGACGTTTGTAGGAGTGGCCGATATACGAATTTTTGATGCAATTCCACAGTTCGGTAACTTTTGTAATATTAGGATATATTATAAAAGGCTATTATTAATCGTAATAAATTGTCCGCGAAAAATTCATAAAATACATGTGGAAATGCTGCGTTTTTCTGGAACCTTCGTAGCACTTGATATAAGGATAAAACGCGGATATGCTGGAACTTTCATGCTTAATTTTCCCAGTCATCTGGGTATGTAGTAATCCTAATTTTATGTAATGTAATGTGCTATATTTTCAAGGGCTTTTCAATGCAGTTATCGGTTTTACTACTTTTGTGATGCTCTTTCAAGCTGTGATGAAATTTTTGTCTAGATCAAAATTTTAGTTATAAGGGGAAGGTCCATTAAATATTGATTATACTGTTTATTATTATAGTCTGTAAACTTGATATTGGAGACATTAAATTTTATTTAAAAACTCGTTAATAATTCATGAAGAAAAAAACAAAAGAAATCACTTTTGATTATCTCGGCTTAGACAAGGTTTATTTTAAAAATTGCTACGCGAATGACTTCATCAAGTGGGATGTTTTTTAATTCATCACTTGCAGTTGTAGTCGTGCTTTATCAGATATAAAGATCGTGTTTTATATCTGATAAAGTATAACTCCCACAAATAGTTTAATGCATCAGTTATTTGATTTAATTAACGAGCATGTGCCTAATGCTAGAAAACAGCATTTTTGCCCCGTCTCTGCATGGGAAAGTGTTATGTTGGAGTAGAGACAAAAAAGAACAGTAATTACGTTTGCTCTACTGAATTTCAATCAAAAATTGATTTTCAATTATCTTTTTTGAATTAACACGCAACACGCTGAGACTTTCAACAATTAACAATACATGCAGCTCTGGCTCCGCTGTCCTTTTACGACGTGAAAAGTTAAAATGTCGACGTCTTTCTGTTTTGCTTCGTACGCTTTCAAGCTTGGAATCATTTTATCATTGATCAAAGAATTGCAAGCAGCTGACAATACCAGCCAAGTGTTGTTCCATAAAGTACATAACGGTTGGTTCGAGAAGAAATTTTCCTTTTTTATGTTTAATGACTAAGCATATAAGGCCTATATATAGTTCAACGTCGCTCTTAACATGTCGAAGGTTTGCTTCCAGTGTAGAACGAAGTACATGTATAGCCGTATAAGTAGCTATAGGAATACAAACTGCTAGGGGCGACGCTTGAAGGGGGGTGTGACCCCCCCCCAAAAAAAAATATGAATCATCTGGATTGGCAGGGCGAATCATCTGGATTAGCAGGGCGCGCAATCAAAGATTTTAAATAATATAGAATGTAGAGTTACAAGGCTTCCAGAGGGAATTGAGTAGAATTTCTACACCTAAATTTTACAGATATTGGTCCAAAAATAAGGGTTTCAGCCATATTCTAACAGGAATTTGTACGGAAAAATTTTTCAGTATTGCGCACTGAACCATTAAACATGCATGCGTTTCTTCGGGAATTCTTCCTCAATATCTTTAAGGCAATAGTGCATGCAACTTATGCATCAGATGAATCTTGTACGATATTGTTAAAAAAATCTTACGTATAAGAGCTTCTATTCATGTAGTATTAATACGATGCGCTCGTTTTTGCAGTTTCTCGAGATCATAAGATGTAGACAAAAAAATATACAAAGTTAAGCTTCGGATACACGAGCAATATTCTTGCTGCGATGGTTACGCGATGGGTGATAACATTATTGCGTTGCCGTCGCACAAGGTGGCTACACCTGCAATATTTCACCTGCAATATATGTCTTCATAACGCTTTTCACTATTTTGTGAAGCCACGTTAGCTAAAAATACAGCCCCCCCCCCCCCAGCATAATGTTGGTCAAAACATTGATTATTGAATTAAAAGCCAACATTGTATCGGGAAATTTCAATAGTCCAGGAATTAATTTCCACAGTTACTGGTTTGCTAAATAATAAAAAACATTTATTATTATTTGAATCAAGGTTTGAACCTTAGTATATATACAGCTAATTCAAAAAAGGTTGTCTTTTCAAAAACCGTGAACTCTAAACCTTGAACCTTTAAACCTAAGCGTGCAAAACATAATGGGAACATCAGTTTAAAAATCATATATGGGACCCATTTCTTAGAGATATGATAAATATCTCCTTACGAGAACAGTACATTGAATAGCTGCAATATTCAACGACTAAGCTTGAAACTTGTGCTCCCATTAAGCTTTGCGCGCTTAGAGTTTAAGGTTTAAGGTTTATAAGGTTTTTCAAAGAACAACCTTTTTTGAATTATCAGTATATATATATATATATATATATATATATATATATATATATATATATATATATATATATATATATATATATATATATATATATATATATATATATATATATATATATATATATATATATATATATATATATATATATATATACAAGTTCTGCTTAAAATATTCACAAAAAGGCAGAAGGTGCAAGAATAAAATAAGCTACAGCCGAAATTTTGTTAAACTTTTTGAGATAACTTCTGAGGTTTTTTGTGTTTTAAATGAACAAGAAAAGTCGATTCCGCACTCGCTATATATTAAAATTGATTGCAAATGCAAATTTCTGAATTAACTTTTACTAATTGTCACTGAAAAGGTCCTTCAAGGGAGTATCAATAAAGCCAAGTATAAAAAAGGTCAACTATATATGCCAATTAATAAATGGTAACAAGAACCACTATTTTCTGGCGACAGACGTGATTCCTATGTAACATGCAGGTGAATAACATTTGACAATCTTAACTTAATATGTATTTAATCAATAGACGTTATGCAAAATGACGTCACAGGGCTTGACGCAAACGCAAATTACAACTGCAAATTTCATCAGCACCGATTA